ACACAAACATGCAGATCATAACACTGTATATATAAGATTTGTTGTAGGGAGTTAACTCGTGAGTTATGGAAACTGAAAAAAGTCCCACGATCTGCAGTTGGCCAGCTGGAGGCTCGGAAGAGGGGATGGTGTCAGCTCCACTCTGAGTCTGAAGGCAGGCAAAGACAGATGTCCCAGTCTGAAGACAGTCAGACAGACAGAAGTTCCTTCTTATCTGCGGGACACTAAGTCTTTATGTTTTATTCGGGCCTTCAACTGATTAGATGAGGCCCACCCTCATTGGAGAGAGCTCTCTCCTTTACTCAGTCTGTCCATTCCAATGCTAATCTCATCCAGAAACACCCTCCCAGACACACCCAGAATCATGTTTCACCAAACATCAGAGCACCCTGTTACCCAGCCAAGTTGACATATAAAATTAACCCTCATAATATCTATGTATATATGTGGGTGTGTGCATCTTACGATGCATTAAGCGCTGGGCTGGCACAGGATAAAGAATATTATAATTTTGGCTGGGAAAATAAAACTGCACTGGAATAATAATTTAGAGTCATCCTGAAATACCATTTCCTATGTCCAAATACAAATTCAGGGAAGGATCTGAAAAAAAAATAAAATAGACAATGTAGCCAGTTGGCCACATGTAGAGAATACAGACAGCCATGATGCCTCAGAAGAACTCCAGTAACTCCATAACTTTTCCGTGTCTTCTGCGCTCCTCACGGCTGAAAGAAAGACACCAACCAGTCACCCTGTTGCGGTCATGCTGTTTGGAGCTGCTGGCGGCCTTGCGGCTGTGAGATCTGTGCGATGCTGGTTTCTCCCTCACATCCCTCTCTAGAAAATGTGTGTTCCCAGTGCATGTAAAGAATGCAGGGCAGTGAACTACACATATTTCAGGTGTGCAATTTGAACAGGAATCATACCATAATAAAGGTTTAAAAAAAAGAAGAAGAAGAAGAATGCAGAGCAGATTTGAGCTCAGCTTAATTTCAAAAAGGCAAAGGCAACTGTCCTCAGCAAGAATGAATGACTCACTTCTTTAACCATCAGAAACGAGACGTCCAGGTTCCCAATTCGATCCCACCAGCTGAACGTGGAGGAGGATGTGTGGTCCTTTTGTTTCAAAAAGGCGCTGTTGCAACCGTTTCCTTGCACCCCACGCCTGCAACTCCTCACCCAAGCGTCCTTTTCACTTTGGACGGTGGACGGTTTGTAAGTGTGTCTAAAGAAACAGGAACAACCAGATAACCTGTATTTGCAGAGGATGCTAGAAGTGGTGATCGCAACCAATTAGGACAAAAGGGAGAGGTTGCCAAGAATCTTTGGTTGATAAACAAGCACAAACATTGTGACAGTCTGTAACATATGCCTTAGGACTGTGTCTGTTTAGAAGAAGCTAGCTTCACCGTGACTAATGTTTCAAACCACAGCAGAACTTGTCTCTGGCGAGGTTAATGGAACAGAATAGAGAGCCCAGAAATGAACTCACCCAGGTATCTTATCAGCCAGAATTCCACCCAGCAAGCAAACAGGGCATTCCTCATTGTCTGGAGAACATCAGTATGCACATTTCCCACTGACGAACACCTAATTAGAGCTAATGAAGTGCTCTCCTTGTAAGCAATCCTGTTGTGACATAGACCATCGGATGACTCAACACAGCTGTCTCATTTTAGGCAACCCACATTTAATTTCTCTCGTGGCATTTCGCACTTAAGACTTGGCAGAGAAGATTCAGGGCCAGAGTCAAATTTTCAACAAAATTTGATGGACGCCTTTTGGGCTCTTTGTTGAGCATTAGAGTTGGAGATAACAAACTCACTTCTCTCAGCCTGCAAGACCTTTCGGTAGCCAATCGAGTTCCAAGGAAGGTTTGGCCTCAAAGTTTAAGATGGCGACTCATTCTTCCATTAATATTGATGAGTGTTGATAGAGTGGTCTTAGTGGTGACATGTCTCCTAAAAGATAGATAATTTCTTGAGTTTGATTACACTCTGCCGTTTCTAAACTCACTTTTTCCGGGAGACATAGTGTTTACTGCTGCTGCCAAAATAGCGGAACATCGTGGTGGATGGCGGGGAACATGGCTGGTCCAAGGGAGTTATGAGCAGTTTAACAAGCACTTGTGTGTAGAAGTCTGAGTGTCTGTTGGGTCCTTCCTGTACTTTCTGCCTCATCTTCCACTCTCTCTTAGATGGAGATACATGTTGCCAGGTCACACTGAGAAGGACGATGAACGTTTCTGGCTTCCATTTTCTCCATAGTGCTTTTTATATGGAGCCCCCCACGCCCTTGCAGTGCACTGTGCGTGTTTTTCTATCCCAGTGCCCTGAGACGAAAGGATTCCTTTCCTCCAAACTACAAGGACAGCGTCTTCTTCGCGGTAAGGACCAAACCTGTTTATCTTGTGTGGATAAAGCCTGATACAGTTTTGCTGCTTTTTCAGCGACTCAATGAATGTTTCTGTTGATTCCAAATCAGTGAAATTCCTGGTAAGCGTGGACAGATGTGTCACCACAGGTAAATGCTTTCAACATCTACTGTAGTTGATACTGAAACATAAAGAGATTCTGTAGCACCTACATTTCCCCCAATTTCAGCCATGCCAGCTGCTGCCTAGCTTCCCACAAATACAAAAAAAAAAGGGGGGGGTGGGGAAGACAGCAAGATTCCTGAATGTCTAAATCCGAACATCTTGCTTGTCCTTATAGCCTGACTACCCAAGATGTCAGTAGGTGATTTGACTTCCATTCAGTCCTGGTAAGGTGGTTCGCAAGGAACAGCATCGACCTACTGCTTATAAAATCAAGAGGGGCTTCCCAAGATGGGAGTGGGTGTCACAAAAACAGTGAGAAGTGCCCCCCCCACAATCACAGATGCTCCAGAGTTCTCATCCAGGGAACACGTCTGCAATTGCTTTCTCTAAACCATCCCTTAAAATTCCTTCCAGCCTCATGCTTCCATCTCCATCGGAATAATGAGCTGCAATAATGAGCTGGAACAGAAAGTTGAACCCTCTCCCTCCAGAGCCTCCCAGCGCTGCGTGCTCACACAAGCTCAGAGGCATGTAAACAAGACAGTCAACATCCTAAAGTCTGCTGCCAAGCCTAAGAGATAAATCATCCTCCAACGGAGCCCACATGCGCTCATCGGCCAGTTAAACTTTATCTTGCATTTCTTCCGCTGCCAGATGGGTTTTGGTAGCAATGAAGGATGAGGTCCTCCAGGGGTCGTTCTTGGGAGGGGACTTCGAGAATGTTTTCCAGGCTGAGAGCAGAGGGGGGGACCATCCCGGGCATGGAATTGAGATGGAGAGGAGTGCTGTTGGAACAGGACATTCTTTGGGAGGGGGGCCATGATGGATTTCAACGTTTAGATGAACAGACTTTCTACCAGAAGAGACTCCCTTGGGTTTTACCAGGTAGATGGGGAGGGCTCGCTCATCTCTCTCTCTTTCTCATCCATCACGGCTTACCTGCCCCAGCCTGCTCCCACGACTCCAATATAGTGGTGCCAGCGGAGGGTCCCCTTACTGAAACATCTGTAAATACAGCGTACCTTTTCCAGTCCTCTTCTTCCCGATCTTACAGCAGCAACAGGTGCTTCTTGAAACACCCATACTCCTTGCTTTCATCATGGTTATGGGCTGAACCTTGCCCCTCCGAAATCCACATGTTGATGTCCTCAACCCCAAGACTTCAGAATGTCACTGTATTTTGTAGATAGAGTCTGGATATTTGGCTCATCTGGGTACATGTGGGATAAACCAAGTGTTTCTTGTAACTAACCCAACACTTGGCCTCAAAGGTCAACAGAGGCTCCGTGAAACATTTGCAAGGTTGGGGGGTGGGAATGGGGGGAACTTGGGATTGGATTTTTTTTGGCCATCCATTTCAATTCTCTGATTCCATTTTCTGCCTATTACCAAATCCACTGTTTTTTGGTTTTTTTCAGTCTTCCTCCTTTTTTAACTTGGGTGAGTTTTTGGGAGACTTACCAATGAATTCCACCCGGAAGCTCCCTTTCTGTTAGAATAATGACCGTAGCTTTGAGCACTCCTCATCACTCTGCTTTGGTCCATTTCTCTCTGCCTCATTTCCCTGCACGGAAGACGCATCCTTGCCCTCAGTCTTCTTTTTCCCTTTCTCCCCAAACGGGCTGATTCACAGTGTGTCCCTCCAAAATGACTTCATTATCACATCTGTCAGGAGAACCTTCAGTACAAATCTGCCGTCCAAACCGTCTTTCATAAACACAGACCGCGTGTATAAATGATTATTTGCCAGGAGTCATGTGATGGATGATTAAAAGAGAATTCTTTAAAAAATGGAACAAACCCATTAATTTCATTCACAACTTGGATCCTTTTCAGAAGGGAAGATAATGGAGTGTTCCATGACAGAAATGGGATATAAAACTCTATATGATGAAAAACGCATATTCCTAAACATGGGTCTCCTAAACGTAGAAGAATGTGTAGCAAAATATAAACAGTTCATCATTCGGCTGTGAGTTCATGAGTAAATGAATTTTTTTAAAAAAGGGTAGCTTTTGCAAGATACAATTCACACACCAAAAAATTCATCCATCGAAAGTGTATAAATCAGCGTTTTTTTTAATATATTCACAGAGCTGCCAAATTGCTATTCCAGTCAATATTGGGACATTTTCAACACCCTAAGAAGTCCATTAATTGTCACTGCCCTGCCTCCCCCCAACCCTCCCAGCCCCTGGCAGCTGCGAATTTATATTCTGTCTCGGTGGAACGTGTGATGTGTGTTTTGGTTTTCCAAGTAGTCTACAATGTGGGCATATTCCTTTCATGGTCATTAAAAAAAAAAGCATTAAAGTTTCCTTCCTTCAACTTTTTAGTCTCAGTCTCATTTTCTGAGTAATGCCGACACGGTTGCCTTTAAAGTGGAAGAGGCTGACCCTTCCCGAACTTTGATTTTACACAGGTCTGTGTCCGGTAGGCGACTTGGGCTGCCCTTGACTGCGGCTCCTGGAAGCATTTGCTCACACAGCTAGATCCCCAGTCCTCTGGACAACTGTAGAAGCAGAAGGAGAAACAATAGCGGCTCACACTCACAGCTGCCTTCATTAGCAGGGTAAGTATTGGGTGAGCTGCTTCTGGTCATTTCAGCTGGGGTCCCAAGACTAGTGAGACACCCCATAGACAAGAGCACAAAAAAGAAGAGAAAACCAGTTCTCAAGACACCATAGACAAGAGCACGCTCATAGAATATAACTAATGTAGCAGGTCTTGGTCACTGATGAAGGTTGAGCTAGTTGATGAATAATGCCAGGTTAAAGGTTGTAGAGAATTTGGACCACAAATAGCTAGTGTTGGTGAGGATGTGGAAAAAAGGGAACCCTTGTACACTGTTGGTGGGAATGTCAATTTGGTGCAGTCACTATGGACGACAGTGTGGAGGTTTCTCCAAAAATTAAAAATACAACTACCATAGGATCTAGCAATTCCACTCTTGGGCATGTATCAAAAAAAAAAAAAGGAAACAATTTGGAAATATACATGCACCCCAGTGTTCATAGCAGCATTATTTACAATAGCCAAGACATGGAAACAACCTAAATGTCCATCGACAAATGACTGGATAAAGATGTGGTATAGATAGACAATGGAATACTACTCGGCCATGAAAAAGAACGAAATCGTGCCATTGACAGCAACATGGGTGGACCTGGAGATGATCATACTAAGTGAAGTAAGTCAGACAGACAAAGGCAAATATCATATAATGCCACTTTTATGTGGAACCTAAAAAAAATACAAATGAACAATATAACAAAACAGAAACACACTCACAAATATAGAGAACAAACTAGTGGTGAGCAGTAGGGAGAGCGAAGGGGGCAGGGGATTAAGAGGTACAAACTACTGTGTATAAAATGAAGAAGCTACAAGGATATAGTGTACAATTTTGGAATACAGCCAGTATTTTATACTAACTATAAACAGAGTATAACCTTTAACAATTGTGAATCACCATGCTGGGCACCTGAAACTTATATAATATTGTGCATCAAGTACCCTTTAATGTTTTTGAAAAAGGTTATAAGAATTTGAGGGTCAGAAATATAAAGAAACCAATGAAATGATTCCAAGGACAGTTGAAGTGCAACGTCAGCTAATCTGAATAATTTGCATGTCAGTGTCTCCTTCATAAATATTAGAAACATGTAAGAGAGAGACCTCCATCTATTAGCTTTGCAACAAATTTTTTAAAATTTTCCAGGGGAAAGTAACTAGGTTCGCTCATTTATTTATTTTTGATGGCAGCACTGGGGATTGAACCCAGGACCTCGTGCATGCTAGGCACACACTCTACCACAGAGCTATAGCCTCCCCCTTGCAACAACTTCTGAATTTATAATAACTTAAATATTGAAAATTTAAAAATGTTTAAAGCAGGAGAAAAATAAAAAGACAAAGAAAATGTGTCCACTTAGGGTCTGTCTCATTTTCTACTCTTAAGTGATACAATCGTGGTCGTGTGTCTCTCTCATTGGAAGGCACTTTGGAGATGATCTGATCCACGGGGAGGAAATTAAGAACCAGAAATGCTGTGGGTCTTTTTTTTTTTTTTAAGGTCACATGATTGGTAGAAAAATCAGTTCTTCCTTGGTTGCTAACTTTGGGGCACAAGTCTGCAGTTGCCTGATGCCAGAAAGACCGGGGAAAGTGTTTATGCAACTTAGATGCTGAGAGCTTGAATGTTTTTATTTTAGTTTTGGTATACATTCTTTTTTTGAATATTGGAGTTTAGAATTTATGACAAGTTGGGATGGGCAATGTGGGAGCAGACCCCATCCTCTGTTTCAGGCAGATGGCAAGGAGGAGTGGGCATGGAGAAAATAGAAATGTTAAAATGTGTTCCCAAAGATGTCAAGCAACAGCTGATTCTGAACAACAAAGACCATGTGGAAATATAACCCCTCTCAGATTAGAGGTTGTCCACTGCAGGGGGAAACCACAAGACAATATTAAAATCATAATGAACACTATCTTGCATTACATCTGTCTCATTGCTAAAACTTGAAGGTAACTTGCATTTTCGAGAAATGTATCACTGTGTAATTTTCCACCGATGGATAAAGTTCCCCAGTTGCCACCAGGTTCGTGATTCTCAAAGTGCGTTTGTTTATCTGGTCCCAGGTCCCTCAAACGCTGTGATTCCATGACCAAACATGATTAACCAGCCCTATTAAAGCTCTGTGGTCATCCAGTCTGAGTTTGTCTAAGTGCTTTATAAACATCCTGTTTGAAAGGAGAGCTGTTTGGCTCAGAATGTTTACAGTGCATCCCATCACGGGAGAAATTCATCTGCAGTGTAACTTGTATATTGTTTTCTGGGGAAGATGGGCGATTCTGAGACTGTTTGAAGACCTGCACATTGGTTTTCAAAAAAAAAAAAAAAGAGCATTTCCACCCTGCCAGGAGAAGGATTCCTAGCAGATCCAAGCAAAACAAAAGAAAACAAAACTTTACACGTGTGTACAGAGCGCCTGGATTTCTAGAACAAATGCGCTGGCTGCGCCATCAAGGCATTGAAGAGGGTCACTGAAAGAATCTTTGCAAAGTCGACAAACTTTACAGGAATTCTGTGACGACTAAATGTTCATCTTTAGGGCATTGGAGTCTCTATGTTGAAACATTTGTGCATTGATGTCTGTTTTTCCAGAGCAAAGTCATGCTCATTGTAAATGAGCAACCCGCCTTCTCTTTTCTCTCACTCTCCAGCCAAGGTGAAATAGTCCCTATGAGAACCTTGCAAAATAACCCGCACATAACTTGATCATCGCTCACGTCACAGTGACATCTGATTTCCATTCACTATCCTTTACCCATGCCCTCTATTCCACGAAGTAGTGTTCAAAAGCACAGAGGTTGTTGTACTCACGTTTGTGCTGTGAGCTAATGCACACTGAAATATATTCAGGTATCATTTCCTACCCCGTGAGTCCTCCCACGTTCGGAGCTCACAACCCACACATTCCATGAATTCTGAAGTTCCAGGAGATGGGTGGACACCTGTTAACCTGTTGGGAAGAATGGCACCGTTTCTCTGCTTCACCTCTTGAATTATTTTGTTTGAATCACCTTCAAGATAGTGTGAAAGCTGGGACTGGTTGAGAAAAATGTTTCTGATATATATATATATATATATATATATATATATATATATATTGTTGAAATAACCCAAAGGACTAGGTTAAACCAGAAAGAACTTTATGAGCCAGGACGTCACTCTGAGCTCAGAGAAGTGAAGACATGGCCAGTTCGAAGGTGAGTTTAAATGTCACAGAGCAAAGGCTGAGACGTTTCCAAACGGTCAAATCAAAACCCCTGAAGGAGTATTTTGGGAAGACAGGGCTGAGCCATATTTGAGGACACAGTTGTTGCTCATTTTAGAAGATCCACGAAAGACGTTCATTCTCTGATTCAGACGTCATGGTATGGAAGAGGAAACACACCACCAAACACTTAGAAGGAAAATGGTGGACATTCACAAACAATGAGGAAAGCTTAAAACAGCCAGGCGGCCTCGAGCCCCCGGCGAGACGCAGAGCAGGCGTCTCTGCAGCCTCGGGGCGGCCGCAACCTGGGAGAGGGTCTTGGAAGCACAAGAGAGAAACTGCTGCCTGCGGAAACCTCTGCGCCGACTTGAGTCTTTCCCGAGTGCGAAGGGAATAAGCATAATTCTGCCAAGCCAGAGGGGTTCCCTCTCGTTGACCCTCACTGTTGCTACTTCAAAAGGACACTCACAGGGAGAAAGATGCTGAAGTCAGATAAAGGAAGAGGATGCAAGACTCATCGTGAGAAAAGACGTGAAAGCACCAGAGTGAACACCGAATCTCACACTCACCATGTGACACTCGTTCTGCCACCACCAGCGCCATCGATGATAAAATTATGCCTCTGAGGGCATACAAGCAAGGCGGAACCAGAATTAGGGCTGATACAACTTGCAGAATAAAAAATGGAATTATCACAGTTAAAACACATTGCTTCTTTGGGAAGACAGTCAACACGTTAACTTTATTATTTTTCTGCTGATGTTATGAGGCACATTAGATTTAATCAGTAAAATAATGATTGAGAAGACAACTTTCTCTTAAAAATATGGAAGTTTTTTGTTTTTGGTTTTTGGTTTTTTTTTTTTTAGCTATCAGAGAAGAGAAAGTATGGAAGTGAAGGAAGGAACTGGTTCATAGAAAATACAAAAAAAGCACACAAAAAGAAATTTAGAAATATTGTCAACTGTAATAAATGGACTGAAAATATCTGTTAATAGATATGAACTCACAGATGGGGTTGAAAAGAAATCTGAGATCTTGCTATTTGTAAAACTCTGAAACCAACAACCAAGAAAGGCTCAGATAAAGATATAAAAGCACTAAAGTAGGTGAATAAGTATGAAGAGAAACTTTCTGGAGCCCTGTTCAAATCAAGCAAAAAAGACTTTAGGGAATTAAAAAGGAAAGAAAGAAAGAAACAGGGATGAAAAAGGCTACTGTGACATGATAAAAATTCTTTCACCAAAAGGTTATAAAAATACTAAAGTTCTTTGTACCTAGTAACAAAGCATTTAAATTTGGGAGCAAGATTTGGGAGAACTGTAAGAATACACTGTCCAACCCACAACTCAGATCTTTGCTTAGAGAGAATCCTGCTTTCCAGGGAAAGAGAGACATATCCTTGTATTTCTGTGGTTTGTTGTTTTTTTTTTAACAGCTGAACTTAACTTACTTCCTCCTTTTTCCTCCCTGAATGAACCTCTTTCATGATCTGCAGAAGAATCCACAGTAAAAGCAGTGGTGTCTCCTTTCAAACGTGTGTGCTCTCAGTGTGCTCTATGCCTGGGCAGAAGGACGAAATCAAGTCTCATTAGTGTAAAAATTAATGTCTTGAGGTACAGTATAAACCGAATAAAATTCGTCTTTATTTTTCCTTAATTGGCCTTTTGACCACTGCATGGAATCCCAAAGCCCTAATACACTGTGCAGGGTCTGTGGTAAGAGTCGAGGGGAGCGTGGGATTCCGCCAAGCTCAGTCTCACGCGTTGAAATCCTGATACCTGGCCGCCCTACAACATGTGTGATTCATTAAGAAGGATTTTTGCAAGAGTCTGAATAAGCTTGGAGACGGAGGCTTTCTGTCATCCATGTATTTTCATGGAACCAGGGGACGTGGTCTCGGGGATGACGGCCAGAATGCGGCCAGTTTGGAAAAAAAGGTTGTATCAATTAAAATCCTTCACCCGCCAGCCACTTTGAAAATGAAAGTTACACGAGGAAAATAAACATCCAGCCCAAATCAAAACCAGACGCCTGCAGCTCTGAGGATTCCTCTGCGTTGAGTTTCCACTCGAGCTTGTTTCGCATTCCTTCTAAAATGGATGCGCCTTCTGGAAGTTACTTTGCAAGGCAAGAGCTCGCATTTGTTTGGGACAACATGGTTAGATAGACAAACAGATTCCCCAGTTCTGACTCAGCGAAGAGAGATGGAACTGTGTCGTACATAGGAGGACACGTCTGGAACAAATCAGATACGTTGACTTGTTTCTAAGCACCAAACCCGGCAGCAGCTTAAAAGTAACTTGTGTATTTCCCCCTCCCCCCCACCCACCCCTGTCCTTCACTGTTCAGGATGGTTACACCCTCTGCAAATCTTTCATCCAGTCAACACGACCTTGAGTTTTAGGCATTTGATACTTTTTTGAGACACAGCACATCATGTATTTCTGGTTTTCTAAAAGATGGCTTCGTGGACACACAGAACTGCACCGACTCTGTGAAATCCACCGGGAGAACTTGGAAGCAGTGAAGGACTTCTCACGCTCGCTTGGTTTGGACTGAAGCTTCTGGGTGTGGTTCTGTGCGCAACATTTTCCTGAAAACCGAGTTACATAAGGGCATTCTGAAAGGGAGCAGGGCCCTGTGGAGTCCTCCCTGGTACAAATCCTTTCTGTGTCCTCCATTTCTAGTTAGCAGGGCATAGACTTCCTTCAGCCTCCTGGACCTTCCCTGAGTTCCAAAGGACAGAGTCAAAACAGTAGCTAATCAGGGAAGGGAGGCGGCGAATGCAGAAAACAAGGCGCGAACAGTCAAG